GTTTTTCGTGATGTACTGAGAGGGACTAGAGAGAGAGAGAAGGAGAGAGAGAGAGAGAGAAGGAGAGAGAGGAGAGAGTGAGTCAGTCCAGTTCTCCTCTTTAACAGTTTGTGCACAGATGTCAGGACTATACTGAGCCTGGGTCTGCGATTCCTGCTACAGTCCTGAAAAGGTGTGCAGAAGTGCAGTGCATAGAGACTGGGCAGTTGCCCACGTGGCATAGCTAGCCCTGTCCTCACTGGTTTCTTGGCCCCATCTCCCTTTCCAAGGAAAGAGCTGGGCCCTCATTCTGCCCCCATCCTCAGCCAGCCTTCCTCATGCAGCCCAAGTTGGCCTGCGGCCAGGAGACTAAGCTGCCGCCCCTGCCCTCAGGCTCTGGAACATCTCCCCACACCCTTCCCTGAATCCAGAAGTGATCAGAAACAAAGCAGCCTGTTGGGCCAGTTCACCTCGACAACCTGAGGAAGGAAATGGAAAGGTCCTTGTATTTTTTCGCATGTGGTCCATTGTGAATCAGGATTTATACCCACTGCTGGGCACTGCCTGCCTGCAAAATCATCATTATTATAACTGGAAAAGGGTATTTTTTTTCAATCATTAATCCTTAATAGGAGAGGAGATAAATGCTGCCTTTTGTTTTTAGAGTCACATAGATTGCTGAAAGTGAACTTGGATCATGTGTTGAGCTCCTCTAGTGAAGTCCTGGAGTTGGGAGTGTTTGGGGTTACAGGGTGGACACTGTCCTGGCACTGAGGTGTGTTTTCTCTTGTGGGAGTGTGAGTCCTGCCCCTCGCAGATCTTCCTCTGGACTCAGAATGCAAGCCTTCATTCAAGTTCAGAACTTGCTGCTTCCCAGCCCTGACACCTGGGCATGCCACTCAGCCTCTCTGTGCTGTCATTTCTTCATGGGGACATGGTTGTCCTCCTGCTCTGTTATTTAGGTCCCTCCCTGTTCTGACACTCTGTGGACAGCTCCAGAGCAGTGTCTCACAGTTCACCAAGCTGAGAGACAGAGACAGAGACAGAGAGAGAGAGAGAGAGAGAGAGAGAGAGAGAGAGAGAGAGAGAAAGAGAAAGAGAGTCAGTCAGTCTCTTCCTTAACAGTTTGTGCACAGATGTCAGGACTGACCTATACTGAGCCTGGGTCATGCGATTGTCCCCAAATGCTGACAACCATGGCGCAGAGGGATGGAGGAGGATTGTTGGCTTGGCCACATGAATTTTCCTGTCCCTGGGTGTGTGTCAGAGTGTGTGTGTGGTAGATCTAAGGACCTGATTGGCCAGGTCTGGCCCATTCCTCACCCAGGCCATGAGGACCACCCATGTGTACGTGTGTGCACAGTCAAAAGAGGCTACCCAGGGAGCATTTTATGTGAAGGAGTGCCTTTGGTGAAAAATGCCACGTCAAGTGGTTTTGCCTGGTTGTTTTTATCCATCTTTTTGTCCACTGGAAAGGATTCCTGGTAGGTGTATAGGCCTGAAGTCCTGAGGATGGTGTTTCTCATCTGAGAGTTGATTCCACTGCTCTGAGGGACACGTGTTCTCACCTTTGGTGTTGGCCCTGCTTGCGTTTTCTTCTAATAGATACATGCCACCTGATCCCACATCGTCTTATCCATAAATGAATCGTGGTATTTACAGGCAGTGAGTTTATTTTCTGGTTTCGTGTGTGTGTGTGTGTGTGTGCATGCATGTGTGTGCACAAGAATGTATGTGTTTTCAGATATTTGCAAAGCAATCACTTCAATAGTGCCGGTAAAGTAAATCAAATCATCAAATCAAAGCCTATGTGATGACCCACATCTTATGGAACAAAAGAGAACAGAAGCTTACCACCAAGATAAACTGGGATTTTACGTTTTGAATTTTGATTTTAGGTAATGGGACACTGATTGGAGCCTCAGCAAATGTCGTTTGTGCAGGGATAGCAGAGCAGCATGGATATGGATTCTCTTTCATGGAATTTTTCAGGTACTTTTAAAATGCATTTAAATTTCTGTTTAACTATCTAGTTCCTAAGCTTACTTAATTAAAAAGAAAACACCAATGCCCAACGCAAACTGTTAAAACACCAGGATAAGCATCTTTTAGCAATTAGAGACACTTTGTATAGGTGAGGTTAGCACAGGAAAAAAACAAACACATTAAAAATGTATTGCTGGGATTAGATGTAATACTGACAATGATTCAGACATTCTGGATGATTTAGGTTGAGTCAGGAGGTCAGGAAAAGGTTGTGGGCGTGCCAGGTATTTCATATTGCTGTGTTTTTGAAAATTCCAATGGTGGCTTGTGCCTTGGCTGTCCATGAAGATGGTATATAACAAGAGGCTGCCATCCCCCTACTGGACTGCACAGCAGAAAAAAGTCCCTGCTAGCAAGGACCCAGACTAGAGCTGCAGTATCTCTGCAGGGTAGCATGGGAGTGGGTTCCAAGGGTTCCAAGTTTCCCTGCGTGGGCACCTCTCAGGAGAGGTGGGGCCCATGGTGGGGGAGCATGCTCAGGAAACTTCTTCCTGTTTAGACTCTCATCTGCTTCTGGTGCCTACAGAGGGGACCCTGCTGTGGGGGGGGCTGGGTCCACTCTGGGGTCCTGATTGCCTGCCTGCCCCTGTTTATATGGCACAACTGCACATCGCAAGCAGGTGAGTGGGCAGAATGAAAGCCGGTGGCCGCTGTAAAATGGTGCTATCAAAATGAACTTCATTCATTTGGTGTTGAGGAAGATTTCTGTGGAGATTCTTTGTAAACTCACAGCTCAGTGTCTGCACAGCGATGGTTCTCAGAACCAGCCTTGGGTACAGATTTGTAACTTCAGTGCTGGCTGAGTGGCAGAGGGACCTGCAGCCTGTGGAGTCTGTGATCCCTGCCTCAGGCACTACTTCCTGGGGCTGGGCTTGGGAACAGAACCCTGGCCGTCATGCCCAGGGGAGGACCAATAGCAGTTTCTGCGTATAATAGAATTTTGACTTTTTTCAGACTTATTCTATTGGCTGTTTCCATAGTTTATAAGAAAGTAGTAATACTTGGTAATTTTGCTGAGACGTTAATTCGAATGACAGTTCTGGGCAGCTTGAATGTGGGAAAAGGCGTTTGGATGGTGAGGGAGCCACGAAGGATGCTGAATGTGCATCTCCCGGCAGGACCCTGGGTACTTTGCTGCCCCTGCTGCTAAGACACAAGGTTCAAAACTTGATGCTCAACCAACTTCTTTCTGTTTAGACTCTCATCTGTTTCTGCTGAGTATAAAAAGAATAATTTCATCACTTAAACAAGAATTCTCTTAATGAGAACAGCAGCCATTATAGCAAATGTAGCAGTGGCCTTGCAGGGTGGCCCACCTCACACTGCCCCACAGTCAGGGAGGGTCCAGACCCAGGGCACAGTCAAGGAGGGGGGTCAGAGACAAGTGGCAGCAGGAGACACAGACTTGGGCCCCACAATTCCAGCAACCTCTCATTTGGGCCAGGCTCCTAATTTCTGCAGAGCTGGAAGGCTGGCTGTCCTTCAGATGCCTTTTATCTCTTCATTTGGTGAAGCATGTGAAACACTGGCCCCTCTATTTTCTGGGGACCCATAGACTGGATTTCAGAGAGCAGGAAGACTTCATGGCCAAGTTGCAACACTGGTTGGTCTCACAGGTAGGCACAGGAGGCCTGGTATTAATATTATGAGAAAATTTAGGGTAGTATTACACCCAAGTCTGATCTTTTCCCCAGTATCACTTTGGAATAGTGATCAGGGAATCTGCCCAACTGAAAGGGCTGGTGTCCACACCACCCAGGACACATGAAGCACCTGCGGTTCAGCTCTAGTGGGTGATGCATGTGTGCCCTGAACTTTTCACATAGGCCTTGCGTTTGGTATGCAGTGTGTATAACACCATGCGAGTGTGCATGCAGTTACAGTGGTGAACTGCTAGGATGACATTCAGGAACTTGGTGGCCTCAGAAAGCTTGGGCAAGACTGCTGGTTGTCTCCTGTAATGCTTGTTAGCCCCTGGCCTTATGGATCCCATCCATCTTCTTGGATAGAGAAAGAATATCTCTGTGGTCAGCTGTAAAAGCTGTGCCTCATTTTGGCACGGTTCCAGTTCTTCTTCTAGCTCTGACTATCCTTCTTGCAAGGTCCTTGCTGTGAAAATCAGAGCAGTTTTCCCAGGATCTAGTCATCTAATTGTTGTAGGGCCCTTATTTGCATGAAGTGCTTAATTTGCAATTGAAAATGCACAACTTTCACTTTTATCTAACTCATATAAAAATTTCTTTCCAAAAAGGTGGCTTCCTACGACACACAATGGTAACTTCCTATGATACAAAATGGTAACTTTCTGCTGTATTTTAAAAAATAATCATTTTTCTGATTATGTAGATATGTATTCATGGATATTATGTAAAAAATTATGCTGAAATAAATAAAAAAATAAAATATAAAAATAACCTATAATTTTGCTACCCAGAAATAACCACTGATAATAATTTGGTGTGTTTTCTTACATTTCCCTGCCTACTATATGATACATATTTATTTTTTAACAAAGCTTTTTAATCACACTGTGTCCTACCTTTTATTCTTCATAATATATTGTGAGCATTTTACCAGGCCATTAATTATTCTTCAAAAATGGAATATTTATGCCTACAACATGTAGATACATCCCTGTTTATCTTACCCTGAGGCATTGAGGTTGCTTCCTGTTCTTTGTTGTCATAATCAATGGTGTGATAAATACCTTCACAAGTAAAACTTTGTTGCATTTCTGATAATTGAAGATGAAGTTCCTGACTTATGACACTGGCTGAATGAATGATGTTTTACACACCCAGGTAAATATTGGCAAGCTGGCACCCAGAAATGCTGCATTCCACTCATGCCATTGAGCCTCACTGCTAGAACTCATCACTGCTGTTTTAAATGCTCAGGGTTCATCTGGCTGGCTAACAATAGATTCCTGTTTTGTTTTAATTAATTCTACTGAGATGAAACTCTTTCCATATAAGTATTGGATATTTGCATTTCTTATTTTGTAAACTTTCTATTCATATTCTTTGCCTATGTCTTTCTCGTGAGAGATATGAATTCTTCCTATTTTTCGGAAGCTTTCTTTGCATCTCCAGAAATCAGTTCTGATATATATATATATATATTGTGACTATTTTTTAGTTTATTTTTGTATTTTAAATTTTGCAGAGGGGCTTTTAGATGTTCTCTAGTCAAAACTGATACATGTTACCTCTATTTTTACCTAGACTTTTCTTGGTTTTATTAAAAAATTTTTAAATTAAGCTGTTTCTTTCAACATAATTGTAGATTTATGTGCAAGATATAAGACAGAGAAATCCCATGAATGCTTTGCCCAGATACTCCCAACAGTAAACTCTTGAAAAACCATAGTACAATATCACAACCAGGATCTTGAAATCAATGTAGTCAAGGCACAAAAGAATTCCATCACTGCAAGGATCCCTCATGTCGTCTTTTTATAGCCACATCTACTTCCCTCCCACCTTCCCCCCCAACTGATCTATTTTCCATCGCTAAAATTTTGTCATTGCAAGAGTGCTCTATAAATGGAATCATACAATATGTGACCTTTCCGATTGGCTTTTTTCACTAGGCATTATTGCCTAGCGATGCATCCAAGTTATTTCACATATTAATATTTTATTCCTTTTATGCATTCCATGGTATGGATGTACCACAGTTCATTTAATAATTCATGCATTGAAGAGCATCTTAGTTGTTTCCAATTTGGGTTTTTTTTAAATAAAGCTGCTATGACATTTTCTCCCAATCTGTAGATTATCTATTCATCCACTTAACAGGTTCTTCTACAAAGCAAAAATTTTAAATCTTAACAAGGCCCAATGTGTCAAATTTTCCTTTTATGTTTCATGTTTTTGGTGCCAAAAGCATGACAACCTGAGAACTCTTTGCCTAACCCTGACACCCAAGATATTTTTCTGGTTTTTTTTTTCCCTAAAAGTTTTATATTTTACATTTAAGTTCATGTTGCATTTTGAGCTAATTTTTGTTTAAGGCGTGAGGTTTAGATCAATGTTCTTTTTTTTTTTTTTTTTTCCTGTTCCCTATGTATATTGCATGACTCTGGCATCATTTGGTGAAAAGGCTATGCTTCATCCATTGAATTGCTTTTGCAACTTCATCAACAATGAGTTGAGCATGTCTTTGTGGCTCTCTTACTGGGTTCTCTGTTCTGGTCTGTGGATCTGTGTGGTCGTCCCTCATCAGTACCACAGTGTTTTGGTTATTGTAGTTGTACAGCACTGCTTCAAGAGAGAAACAACACACTGGGTTACAATTTTATCAGGATCAGAAATATTGGAATATACAAAGTATTTAAAGCAACCCTAATATAATTAGTGGTATTGAGGTTTGCAAATAGTTTCTTATAATTATTTTAAAATTTTGTCTGTTTCAGTGGTTGTTACCCCCTTGTCATTTCTTACCTGTGGACTTATTCTTGATTTGATCTGTCTAGTTCTGTTTTATTTTTCAAAAAATAAGATTCAGATTTATTTATTAGGTATAGTTTTCTATTTTCTATCTCATTAATTTCTGCTTTTATCTTTATTATTGCCTTCTTTGTACTTTCTTCTGGTTTACTTTGCTGGTCTTGGTCTAGTTTTTTTGCATTGCAAATTTATTTCATTTATTTTTAGTCCTTTATCTTATTTGCCATAAATGTTTAAAGCTGGGCTTTTCCCTCTGACCACTGCTTTAAATGTGTCCCGTGGATGTGATGAGTAGTGCTTCCTATTGTTATTGTTTTTAGAATTTCTGTATTTTCGATATGACTCGCCTTTCATCTGTTAGATGTTTAATAGAAGTTTTTTCCATTTCTATGTTGAAGAATGTTTTTTGTTTTAAATTTCTTGTTTAATAGAAGTTATTTCTGGTTTCTTTGAGACCAAATTTTATCATGTTTTATGTGTGCTTGAAAAGAGGGT